GGCTGCTGGCCACTCACGCTGGCTGCTGGCTACATACGGTAGCCCATGGAAACCCACTGCCACAGGGGCTGCAGCCTATGCCGTTGCCAGTGACTCATGGCAGCCCAGCTCCAGGTTGAGCTGTTGTTTAGCATCATAGCTGTAGAGGGCAGTGTCCCTGGCCCTCATATGTGGGATCCGAACTGGGGCCCTCTGGCGTCCCAAGCCAGTTCTTAACCATCGTGCCACTCGGCTGGCCCTGCTTTTCTTTATTTTTAATCTGTGCGTATGTGTATGTATATATAGCATATAATTATTTTTGAGTAAGTTTGCACATGACACTGCTTTAACTTCAAATACTTGAATGTGTATTTCTTGCAAACAAGGATTTCTCTTACATAATCACAGTAAAATTATAAATCCTACACACACGATGCTCTTCTCTAGACTTTATTGAGATTTTTGTCAATTTTTCCAATGTGGTCTTTTATAGCAAAAGAAAACCCAAGATAATGCGTTGAACTTAGTTGTAATGTCTTTGTATTCTCCTTTTGCCTGAAATAGTTCCTGAGTCTTTGTGTCTCATGGCATTGCTGTTTCCAAAGAGTCCCACCCAGTTAATTTGTAGACTATCATCCATCAGTTTGAGTGTGTCTGTTGTTTCCTTATGATTCCTACTTCTGGTAGGAATATCACTGAAGTGGTGCTAAGTGCATTGTATCAGGAGGCATATGCTGCTGATTATTCCCATAACTGGCAATGCTAACTTTGATTATTTGGTTAATGTGATGTCTGCCAGGTTTCCTCACTGTAAAGTTACTATTTTTACCTTTTCTAATTTAAAAAGTATCTTGTGAAACTTACTATACTGCCAGAATCAGAAGTCAGCTTTTTTTAAATCACTCTACATTATATCAAAAGTATTTCCAAATACTATTTTTAAGCATTGTTTTTTTGTTTGTTTGTTTTTTAAAAGATTTTATTGGGGAATTGTGGGAGGGGATTAAGCATTGTTTTAATAGCTATTCAGTGCTTAACTGTTTTCTCAGGGTTAGACATTTAGATTATCTTCAGTGTTTTACTGTTATTTTAAAAAGTGTTGGTATAAACACATTTTTATATAAAACTTCTTATGTGTTTAGGGTTATTTTGTAGGACAGATTCTCAATGTAGCATTACCAGGACGAAGGGAATCTTTTTAAGGCTGTTGATATATTTTGTAAAAGTGCTTTTCAAGGAAGTGTACTAATTTAAATTTCCAATAATAAGAAATTAATGTTCTTTTTTTAAAAAAATGTATATTTAAGGGTATACTTTGAGGTTCATTATCTACTAGTTTTAGCATTCACTGATGATTCTGGTCACATCAATTGTTACTGTGGACAAATGGTGATTTTCTAATCATCATTCTTCTACATTTATCAGTTGCCTTTCTATTGTAAGAAAAAGCTATCCCTCACCTGTTCTCTATTTGTTTATATCAATGTCAACTCATGGCTTCTTATTTTTATTCAATATGCTTGAATCCTTACTATCATTTATTTTGATGCTCAAATTGTCCCAGATTTGGCAAGTGGGGGTTTCCTCAGACTGGTTTTTGTGGCCTTCTGGCATGTCTCCATCATTCTTTGAGGATTTTTTTTTTTTAGCATAACAAGATGTTCAAGTCTCATCTTGTTCTTTATCTGTCCCACCTCTGGGATCAGACATTTTTCTGAGGAACACTGGTTTGTTTGTTTGTCTTTAGTGGCTATTGATATTACAGACCAGGATCTGGGCACTGGATGTGCTCTTTGCTACTGAAGTGCCATTACTTCCAGGCCTTGTCAGATAACAGAGTTGGGGAATTAAAAATTTTTTAAATATATTTTTATTTATTTATATTGTGTATATGTACATCTATATACACATACTTGTACACACACATATACACACACATTTATATTCATTTTTATATATTTAGCTGTCAATATATATTACAACTCATGAGTTCACAGTGTTTCCTTACATTTCGATCCAACACTTTCATTTCTAATACAGCATTTTATCTTTTCCTTCTTCCATATTTCATAGAAAACCTGGCTTCCATTTTCCACAATAATAATCTACTTATTTGCTCCTAGGATGTACAGAGTTTCAGAATTGCTAATTGATGCCTCTGCAAAACAGGAGTTTAATATTTGTTCAGATTTTTTGTTTTTAACATGAGGGCACATAGTCCAAATACTGAAATCAAAAGCTTCTTGGGTTAGTTCTTTCTTTCCCTCCCCCTCTGTCAGTTATTTTATTAAAATGAAAGTATTATTTATTTGCTTTTGTTTGTTTTCAGTTTGGGGGATTTTTCTATCCTTGTGGATTTATTTCCTTTTTTTTTCTTGTGATAAGCACTTCTCAGATATATTCTTAGCAACTTTCAAATATGCAACATAGTATTAATAATAGTCACAATGCTGTTCATTACATCCCCATGACTTATTTTATAACTGGAAATTTGCACCTTCTGACTCCCTTCACCCACCACCCAGCCCCCCCCGCTTTTTTTTGAGTATGTGAAGCATTGACATGTTTCCAAAAAATAAATCTGTACCAAAAAGGTATGTTCAGAGAAGCATGATTTCCTTTCCCTCATTCCCTTTGTCCTTTCTACCCAATTCTCTTACTTGTTCTGTAGGCAAACAATTTCATTAGTCTACAGGTTTTTGTTCCTGTTTTCCCTTTTGCTCAGATAAGTATATAAATATGCATTTTCTTATTTTCCTTTCTTTCTTATCCAAAAGGTGTATAATACTATATTCTATTATACTTTGCTAATCATAGAATTTTAAAGTTGAAACAGACCTTATTTGTTGTATTTCTAAGATTATTCTTTCTTTTCTTTTCTTTTTTTAGACATTGGATCAGCAACAGTTTTTTACAGAGGAAGAGCTGAAAGAATATGAAAATCTTATCTCCTTACAAGAAAATGAACTTAAGAAAAAGGCAGATGAGCTTCAAAAACAAAAAGAAGAGCTACAGCGTCAGCATGACCAGCTTGAGGCTCAGAAGCAGGAATATCATCAGGTGGGATTTTGTAAAAGGATTGTGGCATTAAAAAGAATTTTAGGAGCTGTGCTAAAAGCCTGTGTCTTGGGAATGTCATACTGCAGTGTACTATTAGCTATAGTATTTTAAATTTTGATATTTTCTAAAACTGCTTTGTTGAATATTAATCTAAATTTTAAAATTTGACTATCTTATTTTGGAAAACAATTTTCAGTTAGTTTGTTGTGATTTGTCAAAGGTCACACATATCAGAAAAAATCAAATAATCCTTTTAACACATTCTTTTTCCATTCACTAGGTTGTACAGCAGATGGAACAAAAAAAATTACAACAAGAAATTTCTCCACCAGGCCATGGTGGAGAATCGAAGTTTGAGCCACGTATGTAATTTTGATTGCTTATTTGTTTAAGGAAATAAAAAATTGAATAATTAAAATCCACATTTTTAATAAATGTAATTCAAGTTAATATCTATGCTATTTTCTATATGTTTGTGGCAATAGAGCACCTTTATTACAGAAAAATGAAAAGGCCTCTAAAATTTTTATTCATCATTACATTTCAAAAGCTCTATAATTTAATAACATTTATGATGAAATGCTTTATTTCAACATTATTCATAATTCTTTCTAATCAATTGATATTATCAGAGAACTTTTTAAATTGTAATCTATGATTAGCTAAGCATATTTTTAAAATACTATATATAAAAGAAGATTCAGAATAAAGGAAGATACTGTTTGTTAAAATGAGAGTTTTTTGTTTTTGTTTTTGTTTTGAACAGTCATTTAAAGTCCGAAGTCCACCGAACTTGGAAGAAAACTGTAAAATCAACATCTGTGTCATCTTTTTATCTCCTTTTGTTTTTCTCTACTCAATAAATATTTTAAAGCATATTATGGAATAAAGGAAGATACTTTCTAAATGAGAATACATTTTTTTTTTTGGACATAGATACTTAAGGATTGAAGTCTACCAGAACCCAGAAGAAAACAAACTCAATATCTGCTCTCACTTTCATACCTCCCTTCTTTTTACTTTGTTCTCCTCAAGTGATTTAATTAAGTGGCCTAATGTTATAATTTAGTGAAACTATCAGTAACTATTTAAGTGAGAAAGCTCTGTCTATTGCTATTCAAATAAATTGCTCTCACTTACTCATAAAGATAGATATTCTTTTATGGGTGCTTATCATCCCCCATGTCAATAAAAGTCTTTTTGATATTAACAATTCTTCTGAAGAGACCACTGTATTCCCCAGTGTTGCTTGGTATCTTTCTCCTACTTTCAACACCTTTAACTGCCAGAGATTCTATGGAATAGCTTTTGCTACCATTTTGCGTCATTTTTCATTTGTATTTTTGCTTTATACTCTATATTTAAGATCAGGTTCTGCTACATAAAACAAAAACCAAAGATAACAGTGGTTTAAACTAAACAGGTGTTTTTCCCTTTTACATAAAAGAAACCTGTAAGTAGGTGGTGTCAGGTTCCTTTCTGCTCTGCTATCCTCAGTGCATGGTTTTTATCCTCAAAATTATCTCATCCTCACTGCCCCAAGATTGCTTTTGCAGGTGGTGGAAATGCAAGAAAAGGAACTTCTCCCAGGTAAATCAGCTTCCTTGGGTTTTCCTGGAGAATCACACAGCATTTGAACTTAATTTCATTGGCTTAAACTGGGTCACATGGCCATCTGACTGCTAGAGAAGATGAGAAATCGTTGTGGCATTGTGACCAACTAAAGTTAGGATTCTTTAAGGAAGATGGGAAGGGGGAATGTTTGATAGGCAACTTTTTTTTTTAAATCTTATTGGGGAATTGGGGGATGGGAACAGCACTGGGGAATTGGGGAAGAGGAACAGACAAGTTGCTGTCCTTTTGTTCTTCAGTCTAGTTGTAGAGGACGTTGCTTCACTGGCCCATGTTGGTATTATCATTGTGCTTTTCCCAGGTGAGGCAGATTGGTCGCCGGCTTCTGGACGGCTCACAGCAGCTCTTGGCAGCTCACGCTGGCTGCCAGCCACTCACGGTAGCTTACAGCAGCCCACTGCATCAGGGGCTGCAGCCTATGCCGTTGCTGGCAACTCATGGCAGCCCAGCTCCAGGTCGAGCTGTTGTTCACCATCTTAGTTGTAGAGGGCAGTGTCACTGGCCCTCATGTGGGATCCGAACTGGGACCCTGCTGCTCAGAGCTGGCGTCCCAAGCCAGCTCTTAACCAACGCGCCACTCAGCCGGCCCCTTGATAGGCAACTTTTAATTTTAACCCAATCAGCCTTGTTGGCCACCTGAATATCTTTGTACACTTTTCTGAAACATAGAAAACACTCACTTCCCCCATCCCAAAGGAAACCACCCCAATCCAGTCCATTATTGCATATACCTCAAAGACCATGATATCTGAGTATAGTCCCCTCCATCAGGTTAGGATGTGGTTTCTTATGTTCTGGCCATCTACAAACTAAAAAAAGCAAGATGTCTGCCCCATGAACACCATATCTGTAATGGTGGGATAGCTACAGGATTACTGCAGTCAAATTTACTTTTTTGAAAGGGGGAAAACAGGAAACATAGCACTCATGCATCCATACCAAAAAAATACTGCTTGCTAAAAATAGCAAGATCTCTCTGCTCTGTCTGTAAATACATATTCCCTGTTTTTTTCCATCAGGGAACTAGCAACATCTTCCTGATAGTTTCAACTTCCTAGAGGAACTTACTTGTCTAATGTCCTAAGGGGCCCTTGCTGTTGCCCTCTGGGAAGTTTTCATTGTCAATTAATTTTCAAGGACACATCTGAACAAGCATTGGAAAGGGTGCCCTTCTTGGAGGCCAGACAGCCTTAGCACTTCACTTCCTGTTATTTTGGGTTTAGGGGTTCAGGATTGTTTCAGATACTTATAGGTTATTACATGCCAGGTTTAGGGTTTTTTGTTTTGTTTTGTTTTGTTTTGTTTTTGCAAGACAGTTCCCTAAGAATTTAATAAGTTTCTGGTCTGTTTTCTTCAATTATTACCATGAGGAACTGCAAAGATCTTGTTTAGACTTAGTTTTTAACAAAGAACCTCATCTTTGCTTGCTGGCTTGTGGTCTTGTTCTCCTCTGGGGTCTTAAATGAATGGTACTTACTTGAAATCATTTTTTTTTTAAAGATTTTATTGGGGAATTGGGGGGAGGGGAACAGCGTTGGGGAATCAGGGAAGGGTAATGGACAGGTAGACAAATTGCTGTTTTTGTTCTTCAGTCTAGTTGTGGAGGACGTCGCTTCACTGGCCCATGTTGGTATGATCATTGTGCTCTTCCCGGGTGAGGCAATCGGTCGCTGGTCATTGGTCAACCGCTCACAGTGGCTCCTGGCAGCTCACACTGGCTACTGGCTGCCAGCCACTCATGATAGTGTATGGCAGCCCACTGCAGCCCCACTGCAGCCTGTGCCGTCGCTGGCGACTCACAGCAGCCCAGCTCCAGGTTGAGCTGTTGTTCATCATCTTAGCTGTAGAGGGCGAGCATTACTGGCCCTCAAGGTAGGATCTGAACCGCAGCCCTGCTGCTCAGAGCTGGCGCTCCCAAGTGAGTTCTTAACCAGCTGAGCCACTCGGCCGGCCCAAAATCATTTTAAACTATGAGCTTGGATGGGTTGGCAAGTTTTGAGCTGATCTTTTTCCTTAGGATGGCTCCCATTACTTGGCAGAAAACTTTTAAGGGAAGGTTTTTGAAAACAGTTAAGGAAGCTTTAGCAGCAGAACCTTGTAATTGTTTCAGTTTGGGGTACTGTGGTAGTTGACTTTTTCAATTCTTCAGGGCTCCAGATTTGGGACTTGGTCAATTCATTGTGTAGAGAGAGAGCAATTCCTTCAGCAAAGCTATATATCCTTCCATTTCTGTAGACTTGTTAACCTTAACCTGAGTCACATCTCTCTTGTAGAACTTCGCTGAAAGAGGCAAGAGGCAGCCCCCACATGTATCATTCTGAAACACTACCACTACTTTCTCTGATACTTTAACATCAGTTGGTATGAGGTCCCACAGCCCAAAGCCCTACCTCCTCAATGCAGCCCACTTCATACTTCAGATCCTTTTACTTGCTGCACCTTCTAGCTACCAAATTCTGCCTGGGTCAAGATTCTTGGTTGTAGGTAATGGAATCTCCTTTAGCTATCAAATGGAATGGTTAAGGGGTATAGATAGCTCACAGAATCTTTGAGAGGGCTGAAAACACAAAGAACAGAGGCTGAGCTTCTACAATAGAAACTACATCACAAGTGAGGGCTGTCGAAGAAGCCGCTGCTTTGGGAACAGTCGAGAAGCTGCTTATCAGATTGAAAAGCTGCCTACTGGGTTTGGAAGATGTGAACAGTTGCCAGCTTCAGAATCACACCACCGCTGCTGGGCTTTGTGTCGGCAACAGTGGAAACCTCATGTCCTGCCTCGCTCCCCGTGTAACTCGGTTCTGAGTGCAAGTCTCAAGTGAGTGCATCTGATTGTTGGACCGACCATACCTGGAACCCTAATGTTGAGACCAGGCTCGGATGATTCTTCCACAGACTGGATAGAAGCATAAGATGAGTAGCAAGAGAAGTATAATACATAGCAGATACCAAAACGTGTGTTGGAGAAGGTTAATTGGGTTAAAACCCTTGAGGTGTGACAGCACCTCCTGCACCAGAACTTTTGGATTAGTAAGTTTCAGTTGGCATTGGTCTGAGAACTCAGACTTCCAGAGTAGGTGGTCCCCCTCTTTGAGGCATGCTTTAGCCACTGTCTTCCAATCATTGGTGGTGATTGCCTCTGTATTGATAGTCTCAAGCAGCACCAAGGTGAAAGGGGAGGTTGGGCCATATTGGGTGACCACCGCCTTTAACTCCTTGAGCGTCTTAAAAGGGATAGGGGTATACTCTCTAACTACCTGTCCCTGAACATTGCACTCAATCACGGGGAAGCAAAACTGTTGAAAACCTACAATACATCCTCACCCCGCTGCATGGCTTGCCGTATCCCCCGGGTTAGGCTGGACTCTTGGAGCACGCCTTTAGGGCACGATGGCTTTAAGGGCAATAGGTGAGGAGGTGGAGGCCGTGCCCTGGGAGAAGGCTCTTCCCGCGGGGCAGAGGGCTCTCACCTGGACTGGTGACTGGCCCAGGCAGCGAGAAACGACGCCGCATCTCTGGGGGGACCGGGACTGCCCTCATCATTCGTATCAAAATAATCTTCTCGATCCGGGTTATAATGTTGTTCTTCCCTTGCCAGCTCCTGGGAATATTCAGGTGCCAAGGGCTCTTCGGATTCCCCAGCCGCCCCCAATTCTTTCTCTGTACGGCGTTGAGCCTTGTACCCTTCAAGGGTACTTTTGAGATTTTCTGCCACAGTCTGAGGCTGCCTTTCTGGGAGACGTGAGCTTTCTGGTCTGGGGTCGAGACTATCCCTAACCAGCCCCCAAAAGGTAAATGTCTCTACGGGAACGTCCTCCGGGCCTTCGGTGGTGAATTGTTCGCATAGCTGTTCTCTGACTCTTTGCCATGTGTCGGAATTTATGGTGCCCTCCTCGGGGAACCAAGGACAGGTGTCCTGTACATATGCAAAAAAATTTTCTAGCTGATGTGTTTTAACGCGGCTACCGTGGGCACAAAGCATGGTCTTAAGCATTTGCACGAAAAGTTGGCGGTCCTTTGACCCTGAATGTCCCATGTTTTACTCCCGACTATGCTGCTCCCTTACCTTCTCCATAGCGGTGCGCACCTCGCCACGAAGGGAGTCTCCTCACTTTCAGTTTTCCGTCAATCCATACTCAGGTCCCTGTTCAGGCACCACTTGTTGAGACCCACTCAACAACCGGAGTTGCATGAGTGGATTGGGTGGGAGGTGAAGAGAGACACAGAGTCGAAAGCTGGGATCGGGAGGACAAACGACTGCCGATGGCGGAGCAGTGGCGCAGG